TCATTGTGGTTTTAATTTACATTTTCTTAAAGGCTCATAATGTTAAGCATCTTGCCATGTTTATTGACCATTTGTATGTGTGGTGTTTTTTTTTTGTTTGTTTGTTTGTTTTTTTAGGAATATCTACTCTAGCCTTGGCAGGCATTACTTACCAGTTAGAGTATCAACCCATGTGCCTAAGGGTCATGGGTTCAATTCCCGATCAAGGGTACCTGGGTTGCAGGTTCAATCCCCAACCCTGAATGGGAGGCAAGCAATCCATGTAACTCTCTCACATCAGTGTTTCTCTCTCTTCCCTTTCTCCTTCTTTCCCTCCCCCCTCTTTTCCACTCTCTCTCTCTCAAAACAATAAAATAAACAAATAAATGGAAAAAAAATATCCTCGGGTGAGGATTAACAAAAAAGAAAAGAAAGAAATATCTACTCAAAATTTTTGCCTATTTTTAAAATTGGGTGATTTTTCTTCTTTCATTGAATTGTGATAATACTTGGTATGTTCCAGAGTGCTTTATCAGCTAATATGATTTGCAAAAATTTTCTCCAATTCTGTAGTCTATTTTCTCACTTTTGTTGAATAAAAAACTTTTAAATTTTGAAGTCCAATTTACCTGTTCTTTTCCTGCATTGCTTGTGTTTTTGGTATCATCTCTAAGAAACCATTTTCTAATGTGGAGTACAAAGATTTTTGTCTGTTTCCTCCTGTGAGAACATCGCAGTCTGCCCTCTTTATATTTAGGTCTTTGCTCCATTTTGGGTTGGTTTCTGTATGTGGTGTAAGGTGAGGTTCTAACTTTTTTCTTCTACATGTGATATCCGGTTGTCCCAGCATCATTTGCTGAAAAGGCTAATCTTTCCCTATGAATTGTCTTATCATCCTTTATGAAAATCAATAGACCATAAGTACAAAACTTTGTTTCTTGACTCTCAATTCTGTTGCATTTGTCTGTATGTCTGTCTTCATTCCAGTACCATAGAGTCTTGATTACTAGAGCTTTGTAATAAATTTGAAATACAACTTTGTAATTTCCCCCCCCCAAGATTGTTTGGTTATTCTGAGTCCCATATGAATTTTAGGATCAGCTTGTCAATTTCTGCAAAGAAGTCAGTTTGATTTTGATAAGGATTTATATTGAATCTATAGGTCACTTTGGGGAATATTGCCATTTCAATGGCATTAAATCTTCCAATCTATGAGCATGAAATGTCTTTCTATTTACTTGGGTCTTCATTAATTTCTTTTAATTGTATTTTATAGTTTTTAGAGAATAGGATTAGCATATTGTTTGTTAAATTTATCCTTAAGTATATGGAATTGCTTTCTTAATTTCATTTTTTTGGGTTGCTTATTTTCAGTGTATGGAAACACAATTGATTTTTATATGTTGGTCTTGTATTCTTCAATCTTGCTGGACTCATTTAATAGTGGATTTCTTAGGGCTGTTTATATATAAGATCATGTCATCTGCAACCGGCTTTTAAAAATCACAATCTTTCTACTACAACCGGGCTCTGTAGCCTGGGAAATTTGTTAACTTGGAGGAAATTAGTTGACTTTGAGGTTATATTTAGGAAAGAAAAGTTGCCACTTTGTAGTTGTCTTTTTGTCACTGAGAAAGAAAAATACAACAGACTTTTAGGTTAAAACATTTGTAGAGAAAGCAAAGTCCCACAAATAAACTCAAAGAATCTTTGAGCTTATTTGGTGAAGTCTTGCTTTAAATAATACACCATTATTGGTGTGTTATGGGAACTTCCTATAGTCCTTCCAAACATAATTTGTTTGGCACAGACTGAAATAACAATGATTATACTTTAAGAGATAAGCATTCTAATTTGTTTTTACTTTAAGCAGGATTGGGTGAGTTATGAAAAATATGACCTTGAATATCCAAAATGTATAGCTAGTGAGCTAATGCTTCATTCATATTCCAGTGCTAATTCAGTTTTGCTTCTTTGCCTATGTGACCGCAACCAGGTGAGATTTTAAGAACTTGTGTTTTAGGCCAGAAGAGACCTTCTAATTCTTTTGAAGTGAATGTTAAGTCTGCCAAATAATGTTTATTTGAAAGCTGTCAGCAGGTGAGTTATGAGTTATAGTTATGTGTATAGTACACTGATAATAAATAACCAAGAAAACCTAAAACATTTTGCGTTTCCTCTTTCCTCTCTAGGACTACAAGTCAGGTTTGCAAAAGTCAGGGAAATGTAAGGTTTAGTGATAGTATGGCCCTAAGGTTGATGCCTGGAGTTTTTCTTGGTAAAGCTCATGGAATTTCCCACAGAAGCCTGAGTACAGAGCTGAATTTCAAAATCATTTTGGTTTATTTGTTTCTGATTTTACCACTATAAGATAGGAGGAATATTCTTACCTTTCATTGTCTCACAAGGCATGGAGAAATCTGAAACAGTACAGGTCTATAGGGATGACAGTTTGTAGAGTTGAGATGATTTAGGAATCACATATTGCTCTCTCCTGTAGTGTCACTAGATTTTAGTACTTCAGGCTGGCATTTGCATGAGAGGTGAGCTCTGTGGAAGAGTAGAAAAGGCTCCAGCCTTAATACCTTCTGTTACTTTCCTTCATTGAAAGGAAGGACCTTATTTTTCAAAGTCAGCCTATAATTATTACATTACAACTTAACTTCATCAGGATGCTTGATGGGAAGGAATATTTATTTCACTGGAATGCAGAAAAATGGCCAGAAAGCCATTATTGTTTGTATAATATTTCACTAATGTTTTAAAATTTTATTTACAGTGTTTAAAAAATTGTGTTTTTCTTTTGCATCTTGGTCATTGGCACATCAGTTCTCATTAGATAATTTATTGTACTAAATTAGAAGATTAAACCTCTTTTGGGCCTGCTTTATATAGAGCTATAGAACTTGAGGACTAGACAGGAGCTACAGATCATCTGAGTTAATATCTATTTTTATCACTGAAGACGTCCACATTGGTAGCCATGAGAACAATACCTGGCACAATGTGATAAGCCTACAAAATAGCAGCTGCCAATTAGTATAATCTGAACCCATTATTTGAATTTGAATTTGGTAAATTTCTTCTAGGGTGTTTTGTTATTTATTTATTTATTTATTCATTCATTCATTCATTCATTCATTCCTTCTCAGGTGTTTTAGAGCTGAAGAAAACTTGTGGTGTCTCCCTCTCCCTAATTCTTTTTGCTGAGTACCAACCCTCCATCTCTACAGATCCTCGGGGAGTCTTTACATTTGTAAAAAAAATTCCAATTCTTGATTCATTTCATTTTTCTTATGTCCTATCTCCTCCCCCCACCTCCCCCCTAAAAGTAGAGAAGACAGAATAAATTCAAAGAAATTGAAGGTTGCCCTTTAAAACTTTTTATTTTGCTGTCAGGGCCAGCCAGAGGTTTTCTGCCACCTTTCATAAAATTTATGCCTGGCATAATTCTGACTTTTACTACCTTCTCTGTGCAAATACACACCCAGCCTTAATGCTGGTGGTGGCACTACTGTTTCTTCATGGCAAGACTTTAAAATTTTCTGGAAACTTGAAACTCATGGGATAAAATCTTGTGGGTGTCATGGGGGTGGAAATAGGAAATTTGGGGGAAACAGTGGAAACATATGCCAAAGTTTTTGGCATCCTTTATAGGACTAACGAACTTTGCTCTTTTTTTTCTTACTTTAGAAACAGTTACAACCAAAAAACAAGGTAGCAGGCACAGTTTACTCATAAAAATAAGCAGGTTTGGTAGTTATATTTAACAATGTGAAGGCCAGGACAAATTTCATTTATATAATAATAATCTGTATTCCCTCTAGCCTCCAAACACACACTAGTTTTTTTTTTGTTTGTTTGTTTGTTTTGTTTTTTTGGGGGGGCGGGGGTGGGGGGGGTTGAGATTAGCAATAAAAACATGAAGCTTTAGAAAAGTAAGTTTTTTTATATTGTTGTTTTCTTTTCTCTGTTAGTCCTCCTACAGTTTTATAGTAGAGGCTAAAAAGAGGTGAAGAATCAATACTAGCACATTTGGTAGCCCATCTTAAAATGGGATAATTTGAGCCATTTGAGAACTTCTGTCAAGCTAAACGTATGCCATGGAAAGTTAAAGAATTGGGCTGCTGGCTTTTCCTCCCACCACCTTTGTCTTCAAGTGTAGCTTAATAAATAGTGGAAGTTTCTAAAGTTCAAAAAGGGTCTTAGTGCCGTTGAAAATGTGCTTTCAGATTTATCTAACTGATTTCTAAATCCTCAAAAATGTTTCAATAACTCGATAAAGGACTGTATTTAAAGTGTCATATGTGTTTCTGTATGCACAGGGCTGGACAAATGTAGGTTTATACTTGTAATACACATAAATAATACAGTAATTAATAATAATACAAGAAAAAACTCTGTGTTTTGTGTATTTACAACTGGCCACCTTGTATAAACCAAAGATTGAATTATATCCATTATGCCTAGAAAGTAATTTTTGTTGAAACAATATATGAGATTATGATATTAGAGATACAGTTTATTACTTTGGTTTAGTTTCCTACTGCCTTTTACATAGAGGTGTGTGTGTTGTTTCCCTCCATTTATATGGTGGGATTATTATTATTATTATTATTTTTAATATATTTTATGATTTTTTTGCAGAGAGGAAGAGAGAGTGATAGAGAGTTAGAAACATCGATGAGAGAGAATCATTGATCAGCTGCCTCTTGCACACCCACCCACTAGGGATGTGCCCGCAACCAAGGTACATGCCCTTGACTGGAATCGAACCCGGGACCCTTCGGTCCGCAGGCCGACGCTCTATCCACTGAGCCAAACCGGTTTCAGCATATGGTGGAATTATTAACTTCGATTTCTCAACTGATTCCAACTTTTATTTCTGCCATGGTTTTGTAATCTGTTTAAGTTGAGTTACCTTTTTTAAGAAGAAATTAGCAATGTCCATTTAATAGCAGATTTTATAAGGATGAACCTGAGTGGCTTTGTTTTAATCAACCTTCCTTTTCTCTTTTCAGAGGACGTTAAACAAGTTTTTGAACTGACCACGATTCATCAACGTATTCCATTCAACTGGGATTCAGAATTTGTGCAACTACATTTTGGAAAAGAAAGAAAGAGACATCTGACATATGCGGAATTCACTCAGTTCTTGCTGGTGGGTCTCACTCTTGAAAAGAGTAAATAAATGAAACTGGGGTCCTGGTTGACTTTGGAACTCTGGACTAGACCATCCCATCTGGAGATTTCTCTAGCAGGGTGTAGAATGGCTCTTACAGATTGGGTAGAACCCTTTCCCAGGAAATTAAGTGATTTGATCAAAGATCATGTAAGTCAGGAGAGGCAAACTTGGAACTTAAACTCTTGACTGTGACTAGCTCCATTGCTATTTACCAATTCGTCATCTTCTCCTGAGAAATGGGTAGATGTCTTTATTAGCATCTAATAGTATTGACCTTTCATCGGAGGCCTTGCATAGACAAGGCACAGAGTCTGAAACTTGGCTGCATGTTGGAGTTACCTGGTGAGCTTTAAAACTGTCTTTGCTTGGGTCCCCGCCTCTAGAGATTAGATTCGGTTTGATTTGGGCGGCTGGGGGGAGGCAGCCAATCTGGGCATTAGGACATTTCAAGCCTCTTAGGTGCTTCCTTTGAGAACCACTGTTGAAAGGGCACTGGCTGTCCATGTCCAGGGTTGAACATTTCTCTAGGATGTGTCTGGCCTTGTCACTCTTGCTCCTTTCTAAACCCCCCCCCACACACACACACACACACATTGTGATCGTATCACTAGACCACTGATGGTGCCAAAGGAAGAGTAGTAGGATTATAGATAACCTTTCCTTTTGAAGCATACTTTTTAAAATGTTTCAACTATAATATTAACATTTAGCCCCAGACACCATTACCTACGTGACACGTGGGTCTACATGATAAACCACTCTTTCTTTTAGATTTTCAGGCATTTGTTTTGTTTTTCTTAACAATTAAATTTGATATTTTATTAAATGTAATATTTTATAAATGTTTTATTGACTGATATTTTGGAGAGAGAGGGGGGAGGAAAGAGAGGGAGAGAAACATTGATTTGTTGTTCCACTCATTGATGTGTTCATTGGTTTATTCCTGTGTATGTCCTGACTGGGGATCAAACCCACAACCTCAGCATATTGGGACGACGCTCCAACAAACTGAGCTACCCGACCAGGGCTTTTAGTAAGTGTAATAGTTTGAAAGAGTCATTTAATGGGATTCGTTTGCTGTGTTTAAATTCAAGGTCTTCAGGAAAAGTTTTCTAGTAATGTCAGCAGGTACCCTGAGGTCCCTGCCTCTCTTGTGTGCCTGAGACCTTGTCAGAGCCTCCTGAGGAGTGGTTGGAAACAGATGCGGGGTGAAGGTGGAGGGTATCAGGGGCACACACAGACACTGCGCCATGTGCTCATTAGCCAGCATTTTGAGGCATCCATACCTTGGCACCAGCCTGTGCAATAGGTTGACTTTAATAGGTGCTTCTCATTTCGACTTCCACTGGTGGTGTTACGATGTATGAAATTGTCCTGCTGTTTACTCTGCTTTTATTTTCCTGGCCTTTGGAAGCTTATAACAAGATGTCTTAAACCTGCTTTGGTAGTATTCTTAAAAAACATGGCCATGTCTATGACCGTACCCCCATATTCCGTGCAGCTCTGTGTCCACATAAATCTGTGTGAATAGCTCAGGTGGAGAATGGAATTCGACTTGGATTCTTGCTGTTGTTTATACAAGACACTGGCATGCGGTCGGAGGTGGTATTCATTTTGATGAGGAATAATTGCAGTAATGCTATTGAGACAAATGCCTCAAATAGACTTTATGGAATACAGCCTAATTAACTTTGAGTCTTAATGAGATGGTCGCAGTAGTAAGGCTGATCACATTTTTTCTTTAAACAAGTATCAATTATGCTGCACTGAGTCGGCTGTCTACTGCTCCTGGTGGCGTCTATGTCTTTCTCAAAATATGGAGAAGTCAGTCAGTCAGACGAGATGACTCGGGGGTTACTGTCAGGTTTCCTGCTTCATGTGTAGGGCATTCACTAGAATTTGACTCTACTCTCTAACGGTGAGTGGGCCTATGCCACAGTATCCTGCATAGGATGGTTTTGACTTTGTAGCCCAAATGCACATGATCAACTTTTACTAGGTTAAAATAGCTCAGGTTGGGCCTTGCTTTTATGTCCCATTCAAGGCCCAGGTTGAAAGGAAGGAAGGGATGCATCATAATAGACTTCATATGAATGCCAATGAAATGCCAGTTTTGATGTCTACCATTGGGTCAACTCCCCTCACCTCTCCCAACCTCTCCTTCCAATCCCCTCACCCCCCCCCCCACACACACACACTAAATGTTTTTGCTTCCTTTGAACTTTTGTCTGGATTCAGGACACTTCTTATAGATAGAAGGGAACTCAATCTCCTGCGTTTCAGATTCTTGCTTTGTCAAGCACGTACCCGCCCTGCTGCTCTAGGGCAGGGCTCGGAGACACAGGCACCAGCTCCCTGGCTGGCGCCAGGCTCAGGAAGGCAGACACTCGGCTGCTCGAGACGTGAAAGAACTGCCCCCGTGCATGTTGCTACCTGTCATCTGCAGCCAGAGGAGTGAGCAGCCAAAATGTGCGTGTGGCTTCAGGAGTCTGGGCAGTACACAGAGACAGTGCTGCGCCATCCCACTGAAGGTTCTGGAAGGTAGAGCCTTCAGCCACTTGAATCCGTACACTCTTGAGTGTTACCTATGCTTGTGTGGTTAGTGGACAGTGTTATTTTCTGCACAGTCAGATTTTCTTTTCTTCCTTTTAATAAATGTTTTGCTTTGTGATAAGCCACCGTGTGTGGGGATGTGAGGACATCACATGCGCATCTGTGTACAGTCCGGACCAGCTGCCCACCCACCGAGACGGTGCTGGTTACAGGCATCCCTCTAGTGCTGAGATGGTGTGTTGTTTCCTATGTTTTGGTTGTAAAGTTCATAAAGTGGTGGACATGTTTGATATTCTTTGAACTAAATTTACCTTTGTATATACTTTGCATCTAAAGTATAATATTGAAGTACGCAAATCTCCCTTCCTGGAATCTTCTCTAGGGAAGGATTTCAGAAGGGGATGGGGCCACAGTCCTGTTATTGCGTCATTGACACCATGGCCCTCAATGCTGCTGGTTTTCACGCCCAGGTCCATCCTCGCCACTTCACGCAGGAGTGATGGCATGTATGTGTGTGTGAATGTGAACACCGTGTTATATGTGGATAAGGATGTGTATTTTAAAATATCCTGTAAACGTTCCACTCACCTCTCTCTCAGCTCCGAGAGCAAACTCTACTTTTATGGTGGCTAAGTTGAATAATTCTTTGTGGCATACTGAAAACAGTTTTCTTAGAAAAGAATTTGGAGGAGATTTTGTGTTCTATGTCTGCCAAATCTCCTTTTCATGACTAGTATTAACATCAAGAAATCAGCAAGACTGTGAATTGGAGGAGATTTTGAAGTTGGGGCTTTATTAGTTAGCTAAGAAACAGGATGGCTGAGTTGGGAGGGAATCAGACTAAACATTATCCATAATGTCTTCTCATCAAATAGCATTTAAGAAATGAAGTTACTGACCCAGTGTAGAGCCCCAATCACAAAGGTGGTGTGAGTGTTTACCTGTATTCTGGTTGCCCTTTTGTCAGAGGGGTGAACCATAGTGGGCAGAGCTCAGGGTAGAACCTAGGAATAGAGCTGCATCTGGTGTCGCAAATTGGCCACTCGTATTGGTAAGGACCCTTGATGTCAGATCACGTGATCCCCATGGCAATCCTGTTGGGTACCAAAGCATATTCATGCTAATATGCAGCTGAACAAGTTTGTTCATATATATTACATATATATATTTCAGAGAGGAAAGAAGAGGAATAGAGATGTAGAAGCATCAGTGATGAGAGAGTCATTGATTGGCAGCCTCCTGTATGCCCCTCATGGGGGAATCAAGCTCGCAACCCAGGCATGTGCCCTTGATTAGAATCGAACATGGGACCCTTCAGTCTGCAGGCCAATGCTCTTTCCAGCTAGGGCAAGTTTGGTTCTTTTTGTGAAGTCATATTGACCATTATTTTGGCTTATGGGTCGCCATGACCTACCAATCTGCCCAAATCTTCTCTGGGTAAAATGGACATTTTGGTTATTCAGGTTCTGGTGGTTGCCACATATCCCTCGGCCACTGCTCCTAGTCAGCTGTGGTCTGGATTTTCTAATCACCATCACTGTGGTTTGCTAATATGTTTTCATAGCATGCTGGTTTAAGACAAAATTTTGAACACAGAAATTGTAGATGTTAAAAAAAGAAATTGTTCCTCTTTACCATCAATCAAAACAAAACATAACCTTCAATCCCTGCAACCTCAAATTCTCAAACATTGGAACTGATGGAACATTTAGGTGTTAACAAAAAGCAATCCCTTGCTGAAGCCACGATGTTTAAACAGGTCCGTGGGTAACTGGCAAGGTCCTTGCTTCGGATTGAGTAACCTGAACCATTTGTGCCTCCCCGTTGTCCCCAAACTTGCCATTTGTATTAGTTAAACTGTTGAGACCATGGATCTCTAGTAGCTGGAGATCTTGGTTATATTTGCATTTTTAACATGTGAGTGCTTTTTATGTTGATTTTAAGTCGAACCAGAGGGGATCTGCACTGCAGGTTGGCTACTATTTCATCAATACAGTGCCATCTGAAGTTCCAAAATGAAATAATGACTAAAAGGAGCTTTTATGAGTAAGGGTTGTTTGCTTTCAGCTCTTCAAGGAGATTAGGTTGTGTGTTGTGTCCAAAGGAAAGGCATTGCTAGTTTGGTGATGGGTAACCACAGAGGTGATAGGATCTGGTCACTTGGAGAATCAGATGCAGGACATTTTGTTCACATTACGTTTTCTACTCTCAGGGAAAAAGAAATCAGTGTTTGTTGTGGTTGTGTCCATAGTGTTAGTCAGCTTGCTGTTCTGTGGAACAGCCGGTTGTGCAGGCTTTTACAGTAACATCCTGGTAAAAACGAACCTTCCATATGGCATCTCCCCAGCCATTACCCACTGTGAAGTTCAAGGTTAACTCAGAAGAGCAAGGAAATTTAGAGGGAAAAGCTCAGTTCTTTGTTT